CTCTGCCTCCCGAGTGCTGGGATTAAAGGCGTGCGCCACCACCGCCCGGCTACTTCTTGTCTTTTAAACTAAGATCAAATGAATTCATAAGAGGAGATTTTGGAGGCAGAGAAGGGGAGGAACTTCCTGTGTGATGGTTGGGAACTGTCAGTCAGCCTTCCATCTCTGGCCTAAGATAAACAACCTAATAGCAGAAAACACTGCTTTTGGCTCACAGTTTTGAAGGCCACAGTCCATGGCCACTTTTCCCAGGGTATCCTGAGGAAGAGTGTATAGCAGAGGCAGCCAGGAAAGAGAAAAAAGGATGGATCCCAATATGCCCTTCAAGGCCATGCCTCTAATGATCTAATTTCCTTCCACTGGGCTCCACCTAAAAAGCTCCCACCAGCTCCCAATAGAGCCACTAGCCAGGGACCAAGTCTGTTAACAATCATGAGCCCTGAGAGATACTTACGATCCAATTCACAAGACCCCACCAAAAGCCCCAAAGGCTCACATTCATTCCAAAATACAAAATGTGTTTGATCTATCTCCAGAGTCAAATTCTCAACAGTTCCTGCATTGCTTAAGTCCAAGTCCAAAGTCTCCTTTGAGATTCAAGGCAAACTCCTAACTAAGACACCAACCAATTGAAACTGTGAGAACATTCCCACAAACGATGCTAAATAGATGTCCTTGGGATGACATTGACTAGTCTTTCATCTTGTGACAGCAAGTTTTACTTAAATGAAATAATTTTTCTTCCCACCATGCCCTCTCTCAAACTTTTAGGTGGCTGCAGAATCTAAGCTTCCCCCGTTGCACTAGCTGTGAGCCCCTTAAAAAAGAAAGTTACGAAGAAGAAAGTTACAAAGAAAGTTAAAAGATACAAAGGCATTTGGTGAAAGTTACGATTTCAAAGGGGAAGAACAAGGGAAAAAAAGAATAAATCAGATCAGAACAAGATAAAAATGTAGTGGGGCAAACATCAGAGTCTGTACCTTCATATCAAGCACCTGGGGCATCATATATATCCCCAAGGCCGTGAACAGCACTTCTGTGATAAACGTGTCCACTTCAACCCATACACCTGTGCTTGGGGCTGGCTCTGTTCGCTGATTCTTTCAACAGGCATTCTATGCCCCTGGGGTCCCCTATATTCCTGGGGGTTTTATTGCAGCTTCACTTTCTCATGGGAATTGCTCCCCTGGATTCTGACACTGCTTGGCCTTACATGACTTCTTCTATAATTCATATAGAACCAGGACCATAAGCTCTGATACCAGTGTGAGCTGGAGCCAGAAAAACATGGTCCATAACTACAGAAGCCTCCGAGTGCCTCAGGAGCTGGACTAGGCATAGCAGATTCCTGGGGACAATTCCCGGGGTGGCTCTGGGAAAGCAGAGTTCACTAGGGTGGGAGAGGTATAGACTCTCTTCTCAAACGTGAGCTTCTGAGCCTCGAATGGGAAGGCTGTTGTTCATCTCTAAGATTCCCTCAAGGTATTTTCTACCCAGGGCAAAGCAGAGGACATTTTTCATTGCACCAATCTCTTTAGCAAGCATACCTCCCTTGATTGCAACTTTAAATACTCCACTTTCTGGTTCTCACGCCACCTTGACAGCATACTCATGATGACCTAATTTCTCTGACTATGCCTACTTCCAGAAGAAATCCTTCCTAGTAGTCCTTTGGGTATGAAGAAAACCTTGACCATGGGCTGAAGAGATGGCTCCATGGGTATAGCTCTTGCTGTGCAAGCCTGATGAAACTTAGTCTGGGCCTAAGGACACCACATAACCCTGTATGCAGTAGGGTACATGCCTGTAATCCCAGCTCTCCTATGTGGAGGTGGGAGGCAGAGATAGGGAAATGTGAAGAAGCTTGTGGTCCAGTCAGCAGAAAAATATCAGAAAGATTCTAACACACACACACACACACACACACACACACACACACACCTGTGTGCCACCAAACACATACATATATCATACATTGATGAATTTTAAAAAAATCCCACAACACAAGAGTTTGAGAGACACAGCATAAGAGTCATAGCTCATGATCTGACCCCTCTACTTCTTCCATCAAGGGCTAAGACTGCTGCAGGCTATGTCTCTAATTCCTAGTCAGGAGGAAACTCAACATTGCCTATACAACAGACATCCAGTAGGCACATAGTCTAGGAAATTACCATGTAAACAATAATTTTCTTATGTTCCACTCCCAAATAGATCAATGTAAAATCTCACGGTCCCCAAAGAAATATACTCCACAATTCCTGAATGCACATACAATCTACATAGCCTCTCCACTTCCATAGACAAACTGCCCGTATCCACCAGAAAACACCTTCATAAACCCCAAGAACTCAAATACATACAACAACTACGAACAACATAGGCTTCTCTAATACAAAAGACCAAACACAAACATTGGGTCACACATTCAAGCAAAAAGTCTTCAAGAACTCAGTCCTGAATAAGCACAAAGAGGATCTCTGAGCCATCAATATACTCCAACACTGTAAATATACACATTCCCCAAACACATGGATTGAATGCAATATATTAATATATTAATCTCACATGTGTGGAAACTTCTGCCATGCACCAAAAGCAGTCATAAACACACACTATATATAACATACTATTTAATATTCTGTATCTATAAAACACAAACTTCTGAGCTCATCCTCCAAACATTCCCATGAGCACTAGAAACACAGCATCATTAACCAAACCTAATGCACATTTATACACTGTGGTTTGAATGAGAATGTTCCAGCTCAGATGTTTGAACACTTCACCCCCAGTTGGTGGCACTGTTTTGGGAGGCTTGGGAGGTACAGCCCTGCTGCAGGAAGTATGTCACTGGAGGTGGACTTTAAGAGTTTAGATACTCTGTGCCATTCCCAGTTCAGTCTCTTATGAATTGTGCTTATGGTTCAAGATATGACTGCTCAGCTTCTTGGTCCTGCTGCCATACCTGCATGCTTCCCCTCCATGATGAACTCTTACCCCTCTGGAACTGAAAGCCCCAATAAACCCTTTCTTATATAAATTGCCTTGATCATGATGTTTTATAACAGGAATGAAAAAGTAATAATAAATTGAACAAATGACCTCTTTTTCAATGAGCAAATATACATATTTTATGTACTCAGAGATAGATATATACCACCAGTGTAAATGCCCAAGACATAGAGAAGTATTACCCATAAAACATTTAAATTACAAATACAAACCACTCATTCATTGATCCAGAATTATCTCTAGCTGCTAGAAAACATTTCCTACATCATCAATACTAACATGTGACTATATTATAAACCCCAATGCAGCAAATAGTTGCCACACACTTGCCTGTGCAAATGCATAATCTCATCTATCCATCAAATACACGCATCCTTGCTTATTTGCTATATGTATACTCACTATTTCCTATTTACCATATATAGAGCAACAGAGAACATTCATTATAAAAAGGGAGATTATGGAATCTACTTTTAAAAAGGA